CTTCTTTTCTCTATCGTAGCACTACGCGAGTTATACACCACGTTGAGAAAGACCAATAAAAGGTTGAAAAACGTATTCTCAATCAGTAAGACAATTGGGATTATCCCAACGTATGTTTGGATTTTCCACCAAATCTAACATACAAAATATATTTGATCTCAGGGCAATACCATACAACTCCACAAAGTTTAACGAGTGGGTTGCAGAGGCAAAAGCACCGGCAGTTCCAGGAGCGCTTCGTCTATATAGAACATTGTTAAGTCTCGGGTTCAAAATTGTCTTCTTATCAGGAACCAAAGAACAATTCAGAGAGGTCAGGATAGCAAATCTGAAGGCAGTTGGTTACCATACTTGGGAGAAGCTCATTCTCAAGTAAACTTGCAATTACATTTTCTATTTTCTGTCTGCATTTTTTCTAGTAATATAGTCAATTTTTAAAAGTGTCAAAAAATCGTAACCGAGTATTATTTTGGGTGCAGGGAAGATGCTGATAAGGGCCTCACAGCATTGGCTTATAAATCTAAAAGGAGGACAGAGCTAGTAAATGCAGGATACAGAATTCTTGGAAATTCTGGAGACCAATGGAGTGATATTCTTGGCAACAATACTGGCAGTCGAACGTTCAAAATCCCCGATCCCATGTATTACATTGGTTGAGCGACAAGCAAACTCTGTCCAGTCGCGTTTAGTTTTATTTCTCTCGTCTTTTGAAGTATCGGGAATAAATATATCCTATTGTGTTTGGAGAATAAATTAAGAGAGCTTCAGTCCAAGATGTGAGAATAAATCCCGTCTTTAGATAATGTAAATCGATGCTAAATATCCGACTAACCAAAAGTCATAAATTCGAGTCTCACAAAGTATTAGATTTTCATGAAAAAATGACTTCAACATACTCTAGAGTAGATTTGTTGAGGATAAAACATAAATGAATAATCTTTTAAAAACTTGAGTTCTTAAATGAAATAGTTCAAAGCAAAAATGCTTATATGAATCTTGCAATTTATTTCAGTTTAAATTAATATAAAGTAAGCCACTCATCGAAAGTATTGAAAAAAGACTAATACTTTCATGTCTTGAGTTCATTAAGTATTTAAAACTTGTTTGCTTTCCTTCTCAACCCACACGAGTCATTTACAACAGCGAGAGAGCCGAAAATCTCTTTACGGCATGCCCCCTCAACTCGTGTGAGCTATTTACAAGAAGAGCCTTCCTCGGCAGGAGACCCAAGAACCTTTTCAAGACTTGCCTCATCAATCCGCACAAGTTATTAATGGACTCCTTGGCAGGAGAGTCTAGCACTTCTTCAGGGTTGCCTTCTCAATCTACACGAATTATATTTAACAAGAACCGTCTCCATAAAGAGTCAAGCACCTCTACGGGTTAACCTCTTCAAGCCACATGAGTAATTTATGAGAAGAGACTCATTGGTGGGAGAGCCAAGTACTTCTACTAAGACCCGCCTAAAAAATCTGCATAGGCTCAATCAGCACTTCACCTCGACAAGTGAGTCGAGT